ATATTCATACCCATATACATATTATCCTCTTCCGGGTCGTCCATTATTTCTACGCATTTCACAATATTCGGGTGATCCAATTTCTTCAGAATGGCTATTTCCTTTTTCATTTCATCGTCTTCTGCAGATTTCAGGGCCGCATTCGGAGGGAGGACCAGAGACCTCCTGGCCCCGGGTGGCCGTAGGATATTACGTTTGAACATGATATTACGCTTCAATTTCTTCTTAGATATCATTTTGATTGCCTGTATGTGAGAGGCGTATTAGATTGCGAGTTGGTAAACTTGTATGACTTGTTTGGTTGTGGTGACATAGAACGGAATAGAAGATCGGGTGCAAGTACCCAGGAAAACATCGACGTAGATATAGTACGTACGCGTTTGAATGTGCGTATGTACATTTTTCCATACATAAATGTACCCCCTTGCATATCCGCACAGCCACAAATATATACCACTATGTCTCTACAATCGCATCCTCGTATGGAATATGTTCAGCATTCCAACTTATATCCACACGGTCGCGCTCATTTAACAAAACACGTCCGTCGACACATACCCAATGTACTGGTATCTGTTATGACACACATTAATTTTATACAATTGACACACGCACCACGCACACAAAGCATCAAATACATCCATCATACATCTGTCCTTTGCGTTCAACGCTTTCTTCACCACCATAACTCTAAAACCCTAAAACCCTAAAACCCCCGCTGCGCTCCCCTACCTAGATCGCCCTGTACTACATACGGACTATATTATCTTAATTACACGCACATGAAAACACTCAACAGACAGTCGAAACCACGTACATCAAGTATACATATCACTGTGATATCACACACAGGCACCCCCTTGAGGATATCCCCACACACCCCGCCGTACATACGTATTTCCTGCCGTCCTTCTCGTTTAACGCTTTCTTCACCACCCCCTGGGCCCCACGCCCCAGATCGCCCAGCACCACATATTGGTTGATCTTCTCCTGTGCACGTGTACGGGTGCGTACTTGCTCGTTCGCCGTGGTGTCTGACTCGCAGTCTTCTTCATCGTCGCTTATGGGTTCAATGTACGACACCCGTTTGGTTTCAGTGAGGATGGAGCCCTTCCGGGGCCGCCGCCTGAGAGTGGGGGACTACAGTCACACGGAAGAGTGCAGTAAGGTTAGACTACCAGGTTTGTACCGGGAAGTATTGCGAGTGTGGACTTGGTGAAAGAAGGGTCTGGAGTATAGTGGGACGATAGACTGGCGGATTTGTACTGAGAAGTCTTGACAAGTCTCCGGTGGACTTGGGTACATATAAGGACTGATAAATATATATATATATATATAAATAA